TCACTCACTCGGTCACTCACTCACTCACTCAGTCTCTCACTTACTCACTCACTCACTCCTTTATATTCAAAAGGAAAAGATGTGAACAAATCATAATGCATGCAGATTCAAAAGAAATATCTTAAGCAGTGCAATAAGTCAGCCTTGTGATTATATTGTTGCGTTCTTGTTGGCTCTCAAAACATAACAATCTATTCTAATTTCACACACTTGTTACAACAACATTAATGTAACCCATATGAACTAATGGGAGTTCAGCATTTAAAGTTACTCTGTGAATTGGCAAGTCTCTTTAGTATATTTTGACTTTCTTATAATCTTACTGACATCATGCTATAAGATTCTTGATAATAATTGAAATACTGCAAGCCAGTTTATTATCTGAATTAAAGCTGAACCAGCAAAAAACACACCAAATGAAGCAATAAAATGATAGGTTTACTGAAGATTTTGCTGCATTTCCTCTTAAGCCAAAGTGAAGTGGTTCTGATACATTCAGAGTATATTGCAATACCATTATCAATCAATATTCCCTCAATCATCCATTTTTATTACCATTCCCAAACCTTTAATGTAAACAACTATTTGGCTAAAAAAAACTACTATCCCTGCACAAATTTTACAGGATGAAATGGCAACACTGGAAGCATTTAGCCATGTCCTGGCAACTACTTGGCTATGTTTATTTGGCCTACACAAGTAGGGGAGATGTGTGTGTCTATGTAAATTTACAAGTGAGAGGGTATACATACACTATATATTCAATGCCCTCACTCCCTTTTCATTGTCATGCATGGATTCTTAATCAGTTAACTTTTTTTTTCTTTAGAAAAAAAACAATTAACTAATAAAAATAGATCAAACTTAAAATATCAGATCAAATTAATAAACAAATAATACTAGTAACATTTCTTTACTGAATGACACTTTTGACACTCTTCTTCACTTTCAAACTTTCCTTCTTTCTAATATAACATGAGATTTTATTTGCATAGACCCAGAATGACACTAAGGAAATGGATGAGTGAAGCCAGGAAATGTTGGCACAGTATCAGAAACAGCTTCCATGCAGTTGCCAGTGCAACCGCAGCAATGAATCAAGTTGCCAATCAATCCATCAGACAGGACTTTGAATGCAAACCCAGGGGCTTCATTAAGAGACAGAAAAACCTAAGACAGCTCTTTTTCTGTGCTTTAGAACAGACACGTATAAAATAATATTGCCAGCAGAAGAAAAGAGAACGGAAAGAAAAGAAATAAAAACAGAAAAAATAAAGTATGCCGATGTCCGCTTACATTTGTGATGTTGGCTTCCTAGTTCCAGACTTAGTGAAGCCCCTGAAACTAAAATAGCATTCTTGAACACAAGTAAAAAATATGGCCCTAGGCAAGGCACACTAAAAGGCAGAGGCCTAGATCTAGATTAAGGCAAGGATGGGGCAGGGATCAAGAAGTCTGGGGACAGAACCTGTAACAATGAACAGACCACCATCACAGGTTCACCAAATCCTAAAATGTTCATTTGACTTTTAACTAAGATTTTTTGTTGCTTTTTTTTGTGTGTGCACGAAGATGCTCTCTCTCTCTCTTCTCTCTACGCAACAAGGTGCACCATGTCTTGAAATGCAAAGAGGAGAAACTACAAGATATTGTCATTTCTCACACAATAAAAATTGTGACCCAAAGCAACCAAGCTCTTGACTGGATGTCAGCCTGTCAAAAGATAAGAAAACATAGAAAGAAAGGAAAAAGAACACACAGACTACCTGTAACCCATAGCTAACTCTCAGGGGGAAGGAATCTTCACTGAATACATTTGTGTCATGAACTTATAAACCATGAAGACCTTCAGTGAATATGTTCATAAAAAGAACTTTTCTTTTTAGCATTTGCTTTACCTTTCTAATATCTTTTGTAGAGGGTAAAGTTGGAAAAATTCAAATTTCAATCCTAACCATGAACATGACTGCTTCATAACCTTCCTAAATTTGTAAACATTGTATCCCATTAAACCATTTCCACATACACTACATATGGTAAAGAGAACCTTAAAATGTACCACCAACTAACTTCCCTCAAGAGCACTAATCACTAGATCTCTATCAACTCGCCAACTGTTGGGGAACTAGGACATTACTCATGAAAATCAAAGCATAAAAAATGCAAAATCATAAATGTAACGATCAGGGGTAGGATGGAGTGGGGGTGGGGGAGGCAATGAATAAAATATATATTCATATTTATAGAATATAATATAGCCTGTGTAAAGAAACGATGTATCAAAGCTCCTAGGGATGTACAAAAGATATCCTGTATATCTAATATTATGTGCTTTCACATAAAAGTTAAATGAGTTGATTTTAACCCAATGCTACCTGGGGTGGCATGTACATACATGCCATGCCCACTAAGAGTTTCGTTTGTTTTTCCACATAGGTGATTCCACAAGTACAATGTCACCAATGAACCAGTTATTAGTACTGGGAATATCTTACTTTTATCTAAAATTGCTATCAATATGTTAACATTATAATAATCATAATGTCTATAATAATAATAATAATAATAATAATAATGACAACATTGATACTGATAGTAAAAAAAATTCCCCATATCTCAAGGAAAGGTGAAGTCAGGTGAGATCACCAGTCTACTAAATGACTCCTTAGTGACTATGCCCTTGCATAGCCATCTATGTGTAGTAAAGATATTTCACAAATAAATGCTGCAGTGAACACGTCATATTCCTGGCAACATTGGGTTAATGTAAACTTCACCAATGATAAACTCAAGTGTTCCAGGCATGAATTTTAGTCATTCGGGTCATTTAAAAACAAATCAATCCTCAAGCCTTCTGACAGGGATCTTTACAAACATAAAACTTGCACGAAGATACAAATCACAATATAAAAAGCAGCATGACGATATGACTTTATACCCAAACCTAGCACATAATTGTTCATAACCCTACTCCAAACAGCCAAATATTCAGTGTCACCAATATTCCTACTTCATGTATCTCTCCCCATA